GGTAAAAAGTGCATCGCTGTTTCATTTACCATTTGTCCGAATTGTTCTCTTAATTGGCTATAGCAAGCCTGTTCTTGTTGACGGATAGGGGGGGGGGGGGGGTCTTTAGGCTGGAGGGCTGTAGATACCAACAGATTGTAGCCAGCAGATTACAGTATTATAGCTGGAATGAGTGGCCCCCAGCAATTTTGCTAGTGTCATTGAAAGGGAAGAGCAGTTCATACTCACATCATTATCCCCTCCATTACCACGGGGTAAACATCTACTATTAACCCCCACATACAGACCAGCTGTGTGTGTGTGTTGTGTGTGTGTGTGGGTGGGTTGTGTGTGTGTGGTGTGTGTGTGTGTGTGTGTGTGTGTGTGTGTGTGTGTGTGTGTGTGAGGGAATGGGGTGTTAGTAGGACGGGGAAGGTTATTCAGGCATCTATTACAGATTTAGAAAAATAAAAACGTTGACACGGCACACCTTCCCAACACATACCATTTGCCCACAGCGTTTCTCCACTGCATCACTCATTGAACTCCTAATGAATTCAATCAATAGTCTTTGCTTTTCGCCCTCATTTTCTCCATCATTCGCTCGTGCCCTCCTCGCTCCTATTTGTTTTACCCCTTGGTTTCTACACTTTGTCTTTGTTCCCCCCCCCCCCCCTCTGTCCCCTGGAGCAGCGGTTGAAGATGAACTGTTGGCTGCAGCTGGCCCCCCCGCTCTGAGAGAGACAGGGGCAGCGTGGTGACAGATAACAGCCCAGATGGTTTAAGCTGTGCCTCTCTCACATGGTCACCTGCTTCCTCTCTCGGTCTCTCTATTCCTTGATGGCTGCCTCTACCTATCCCCCTGTCGCTCGCCCAAACTGAAACAGCTTTTTCCATCATCCCATTTTTTATTTTGTCTCTAGTCCAGTTTCCATCATTGCTCTTTTAAACCTGGCAGAGAGGATTGAAAAGAGATGGAGGCAGAGATAAATCAGGAGGGATGGCACTTTCAGAGTCATGACTCATGGGTGATGTACAGTGGCAGAATGAGAGAGGGAGGGAGGGAGGGAGGGAGGGAGGGAGGGAGGGAGGGAGCAGCAGTATTTGGGTTACTTAATTGTAGACAAGGCTGTCTTTGCTGCTTCACTAGGCTGAGACATATTGCCCTAACTGTCAGTGACGCCTCGATGGTTGCCTTCAGATAAACAACTATGAGTGTGTAATTCTGCTGTTGTATTACCGTTGATGAATCTAAAGATGATGATGAGATTTGCTTTGAAATGCCTCAGTAGATTCAGAAATTAGCATGTTATTGAATAATATATTAAACATTGCACTGTATAATACACTTTCATTTTGATCATTAAATACAATTATATTTAAATCCCCATTAACTGCACGTAGCTTTTCTAGATTTTGGACTAAATGGATAACATTCAGATTGTACAAAGACTTATTTTGGTGTATTGTGTATCCAGAGAAAACACATTTAAATCATTTGAAAGGTGATGCTTTTGCATTGATTGTGTATGGCGGAAAAACGCTTCTAGGGCCAATGTGCGCCATGTGATGCTGCAATACTGTGTGTGACCACAATGCCATACATTTCCTAACAACCCGGCAGCATCGTTCTTGTGGGTCCAGTTAAAGTATTTAGTGAAACACAAGTTTGACATTCTTTATGTTAACTTAATGTGACATATTTCCGGGTTAACTGGCTTATGTGTCTGGAGTTTAATGATAAGAGGGATTTTAATCAACAGTAGGCATGGTTTCAAACAGAGCGATACACTATGTTGTTGTTAAGATACAGAGCTGTACAGGACTGTTTGCCTCCACTGTCATCTGTGTGAGTAGATTATATTGTGAAGGACAAGAGAGGCATGAATGAATCAGGCAAATTGACTTCCAAACACACCTCCTCCAATCTCTCTCGGCAAGCTACTACAAAACCAATAGCTGATGCTATGATAGATGATAGAGGTTTATATGCTAGGGTTTGGAAGTCGCCTTAACCTAATGGATTTATTGATATATAAGCTTGGAGTTGAAGATGAGTCATCCAAACTAGTTTTCTTAGAAGAGAAAGAAGAGGACATTTAACTTATATTTTGCACATAACAAAACATATCGAAACAATACACGCGGGAACCCACTGAGCATTTAAATGTGCCTTGTGTTTAAGCATTTTAATTAACAGCAGGAATACATTCACGCTGAGGATTAAAAACTAATATCAAATAGAAACAACAATAGAGTCGTAGAGGAAGGACAAAGAAGTCAGAAGACACACTAATTGCTAAGAAACAGGACACGGAGGGTTCTGAGTTTTTCAGGATTTATGAGTGAGTCCGGCTCAATATCAGGCCCATCTCCCTCCCTCCCTCTACTCGTTCTTTTTCTCTCTGAAAGACACGCTCTGCTGTCTCCACTTTGCTGTCCTTTAGAGTACGCTCCACCATCCGTCTCCCCCGCTATCTGGCCCTTTCTTTCCCACCTTCCCCTATCTTTTTCTCACAATGCATTTAAATGGGGTATTTAGAGATTCCGTCCTTGCTCATCTCTTCGCACAAACTTCAATGTAACCTCAATCCTTCAACAACCGTTTGAAAAGGAAAATACCCCGGTTCCTTGAAGAAATAGGTCCCAGGAGATGTATGATGAGCACACATGGAGTGGGGAGATTTGTATGACAAACTTACGTGGCCCACTTCCAAGATATTCACTCACAGCAGCATCTCCTTGAACCTTTTTACACAATGACCAGATGTGTTGATTAAGCTGCACATGTTGTTGCCTCTGACACTACGAAATGTGCCATCTGCTAATTAAATGAGTAAACGGGGATGTGGTCGAATTAGTCTGATGTAGTAGGAGTTTACAAAGGGTTCCTTTTTCATTTGTCACAGTGGGATTGATCATAATCAGCATATAGGAAGTGTTTATTAAAATAAAGATGACCTTTAAACAGATGTACAGTGTTAATGTGCCTTCATTGGTGACTGCAAGATGGGGACTGTTTTTCAGTTGTTTCATTGTGATTTTTTTTGTTTTACTGCCTGAATGATATTGAGTGATTTTAAAGCCAAACTATTATTCTGCTGTCCGACAAATGATTAGCTTTCTAAAACATCAGGGGTTACAGTAATGACACATTTTGGTGATTGTTTCTCTAAGTCGTCTCAAGCACGATTGCTTCTTACTTTCATGAAACATCTGAAATTCAAGGTCAGGAACATTCTCAGTTGACTGATCCCAGACATTGCGGGAAATGATAATAATCAGATAAGACAGGTTCTGGGGAAGGGGTAACACCAACAATACATGTTCACCAAACATCATGGAGGTGTAGTTTGCCGTACGATTTTAACTTGTCAACAGTCAAATGAAGCATGGAGCATTTCAAACCAAGAACATAATAAGTAATAAAATGTTTATATAAACTGTCAGTTTACTGGTACATCTCTTTAGACTAGTCTACATGTGTTGAACACGAGCTAGCGAACAGCCTGACCTTTTCAGTGCACCTGTTTCATTACTGTAAGCACTAATCAAGTGACCCTAAGAGCTGGACAATATTTGGTGAAAATCTCAAAGAAGTCAGCAGTCACCATGGGAGGCAAATGTCAGCTATTGAAGGAGGAAGTAAAAGCTTTTAACATTTTAAGGAAAATAGATTGTTAACTTTTATGGAGTATAAGATAACACCATCTTACATTGTCATATTGGATCTGTGAACAGGGAAGAACTGTGATAAAAAAATGATCTGGCAGATTAACTAGTTAAAAAAAAGGAATTGCAAATTGTATTTAATTGAAAAGACAAGCTTATGACCAGTGCAGCATGATGTTTCTTACATGTGAATGATATGATGCCCCACAGCAGCAGGGGGTCAGGTGTGGATGAGATTCACTCTGCTATAATGAAAGCTGATTGGTCTCTCTTCACTTAGACACCTATTCAATGTTGCGTGGAGATTGAGGAAGGTGCCTGCAGAATGGAGGACTGATGGCGATGACCATTTTTAAATTACAGGGGTGTGCTGCTAGAACCAGTTCCTTCAGCAAACACTGTGGCGGTTAGCAGTGAGGATGATGGTTACCTTTCTAGTTTGGGGTATTTACTATTAATAAACAGTGACAATCACTTCACTTCAGATATAAAACAAAATATGTTGTCTTTTTTTTGTTTATTTGCTTCAAATACATGCAGATGTTCTGACACCATAGCAACAGCTATAGGCAGGGCTGCACATAACTGGTACGCAGGTGCGCATGCGCACCCCGCCAAAAAAGGAGTACCGGATCATTTGAAAAAAGGCGCATTTGCGCACCAACATTGAGAGAGAGAGAGGAGAGAGAGAGAAAAAGAAAGAGAGAGAGAGAGATAGAAAAGAGAGAAGAGAGAGAGATATTTGTTGCATAAGAACTGTTAAGATATAAGGGTTTCCCACACAGACTTTACTTGGGCGGGCCGCCCAGGTATATTAACGGCCGCCAAGTATAATTTGCAAACCATTTAGGTTTAATTTTTTAATCCGTCCGCGAGCACGACGGCATCTGCGATCCCTCGCTCTATCCCTCGCTATCGCGTGAAGGGTCTGCTTTATGCACTCCGCACAGTAACCCTGCTGCGAGGCTCTGGCGAACAGTTCATCAGAGTGCTCACTAGCGCACCTCCCTCCATTCATAAAGTCAAGTACCCCTCAAAAGGTCCGGTTTATTTCATTTTAAGGATGCGCACCAAGCAACATCTCCAGGTGCTCCTTTGAGAACCAGGGCAAAAAGGTTATGGCACCCTGGCTATAGGACATATTTTGCTTCTCAGCACCATGGACAGCGTCACTGTAAAAACACCCAGGCAACACACACTACAGCGAGATAGAAACATGTTGCAGTGGGACAGTATGAGTGCACAGTGTGTGTGTGTGTGTGTGTGTGTGTGTGTGGTGTGTGTGTGTGTGTGTGTGTGTGTGTGTGTGTGTGTGTGTGTGTGCATGTGTGTGCATGATGAGGCCTTACCTAGCCGCGGGTCAACTGCCTCTTCTGAACTTCTTCCACATAGTCTGCTGGAAACCATCCTGTCCTCCCTTTGACAGTGCCTTCCCAGAATCCTCCTTCCCCTATACTCAGCACTGTAAAGAGAAAAATAATATTGTCAAACATTGAAATAAAACTTTCTTAGTTGTCATTATTGTGAGGTTGTGGAGCCTTGAAAAAGAGACAAAGAAGGACAAAGTGAGATATTTAGGTCTCCATTGTTCGGGTGCCTGTACACAGAGGGAGACATTTTACAGACGTTACCCAGATAAAAGACAGAAATAACTGTAATCGGAATAAAATGGTCCGTAGTTTATGAACCATACCAAGGTGCTTTGACAACATAGGATGTATTCTCTTTAATGCCAATAAACAACTTTTGAATTAGAAAAATAAAGTGAAAGAAAGACTTAATATTAAAGGGACAGAGTTGAGGGAAAAAACATTAAGGTCAACAAGAAAAAGAAAAGGGGAGAGAGAGCTAGAAGGCGGTGAGGAGAAGGAGAGAGATTCCTTCTAAGCTCCGCTGTGGTAATTAGAGATGAATGTATACTGTAGTTGATATTGATCTTCCCTGCAGGACTGAGCCAGAACGCTCATTACACACACACACACACACACACAACACACACACACACACCCACAACCACACACACACACACACACACACACACACACACACACACACACACACACACACACACACACACACACACACACACACACACACCCCACACACACACACACACACCACACACCACACACACACACCACACACCCACACACACACACACAACACACACACACACACAACACACACCACACACACACACACACACACACACACACACACACACACACCACACCACACCACAACACACCACAACACACACACACCCACACACAACACACAAACACACACACCTTAGATATCACCAGCTGGAGCTGAAGCTTTGCCTGAGCGAGCTCTTCTTCTAAACCGGTTGCTAGTTACGACAGTATGATGTTGCAGCCAGAAGACAGCCTGCTAAATGATGCAGTCTACTTCCTCCAAACTATTTTCTCCTCCAGCATGGGGACATGTCACGGTGATGTCACCGGAGGCACTATGGGTAGCGGTCAGCTGAACTTCATCTTCACTCACATGATAGTAAAAGTTCAAAGTTCAAATATCAGCCATTCACACTTGCTGCATAGTGTTACATATTTCTTAAATACTTTCTACTACTGTGCCCACATCTTACTACCCCTAAAGTCTATTCACATCCTGCGCAGACACAAACATGTGTGAGGCTAGGCAGGATTGTGTTTTAGGACACTGTGTGTTTCAATAGAATATAATTCAATTATACAAATATCCTGGTGGGTCACAAGTCTGTGTCTGGACTGGATATACTCCCTCCCTCTGCCCGGCTATACATCCACTAGCTAACAGAGAAGTGGCTTGCAAAAGGGGAGAACGGCTGTTTATACTTCCAGCTGTAAAAACAGGACACTCAGCACACAGAGGATACATGGACTGATCCCTCTCTCTGATCGTAGCTTAACACAACTTTACCCAGCCCGTCTCCTGAGAATAGTCTCTTTATTTCCCTGTTCAAACCCTTTATTCTCTCTCTCTCTCTCCCACAATGTGCCGTGTCAACATGACTTTCTCTCCCAGTCCCCTTCACTGTTTTTCTGAATGATTTCTTAGTCCTCTCTCCATCCCATTATTTGTACCTGTCGCTGTGTCTGTCGGTACTGTAATGGTGTCCCTGAAGCAGTGCTCTCTGTTCCCCATTGACAGAAATGAAATAAAAGGTGAGACCTCTGATTGATCTTCCAGGCC